ATGTCTAGTTTGATGTTTTGGGTACCGTTCGTAGGTTTATGAGTCTATTATATTGCATGCTAGTTGAATTGGTATCCCGTTGACCTAGGTGGAAGGAGTATGAACCCCTTAGGACTATTCTTAGTATGTGATGGATCACGCATAGGTTTTGTTATGCGCTTTCTCCCCCTTCCCAATGTGTAATATGGGTTGCATGTGCTTGCTATGTGTTATGTGTGGGTGTTACCCCAATTCGGTTGCGATCGGATTGGTTATCCTGAGCTGCGGTTCAGAAGCTGGCTGCGGTCAGATTGATACTCTTGGGCTGCGGTCCACCGTTTGGTTGCGATCAAACGTTTCTATACGAGCTGCGGTTCGTCCTTTTTCCTGGCTGCGGTCAGATGACATTCTCTTGGGCTGCGGTCCACTGTTTGGTTGCGATCAAACACTATGATGAGCTGCGGTTCATCGGTCGGTTGCGATCGACCCCTCCGTGTTGCGATACGGGGCAGGGTGCTGCGGGGCCGTGTCAGAGCTATATGCGCTGACCCTCATGTATGGGCATGCGATTGGTCCTGTGGCGCCAACAAAGTGTGTTATGTGTTGTGACATGGACGAGTTGTGATTACGAGTGTCTTGGGGGATGTGACTATGGGATTTATATTGGGGATTGTTCATGTTGGGTTATGATCATTGTTTATGCTTTGCCTTATCTGCCTTATCTGTTGTGAACTGCATATGCTCGTTATAATTGTTGCTTGTGTCTGGCCTTATCTGTCGAGTCATTCCCGGTTTTTAAAGCTAGAGTTCGTAGGATATATCTTCATGCTCAAAATGGTTTTCGTATATCTATATATATCTCTATATGTATTGTATTTCAACGCGTTGGAGTGGGTTACCAGCATCTCTCGCTGAACAGATATATTTGGCTTTCAGGCACAGAAGATTAAGTCACTGGAGCGCGCTAGAACTTGGAGTATAGGAGTAGATAGTTTTCCCTTTTGGCCTGCGTGCCACGTTTACGTAATTACGCTTTGAGGATATTAGTTAGTTAGCCTGTGCACTTGGGTTCTCTAGCCCAGGTGTGGCATAGCACCCCGTACGCTTGTATTTATTTCTTGGGATTTAATGAGATTCTACCTTTATTATAAGTTTTAAAAAGTCTTGAAAATCTGGGGTGTTACACCACGCCCATCCTACGGCTCCAGATCTGTTTACTCATTTACAGTACGAACCCACAGAGAAAAGATGAACCTTCGCAATAGGCTGATGAGGGACAACACTGTGACAATGGATGGCTCAGGAACTTTCGTTCAGTTCAAAGAATACGAGAAAGGAAGTTGGAAAAGGTTCGAAGGTTGCAACTTGCCAATTTGGCTAAAGAAGAAAGATAACACAACAAGACAAGAGTATCAAAGAAGAGAGAATGAGAAGATAAGGAAGGAAAATGAAACACTCTGGCTTGAACATAAAGAAGCTAGAAAATTGAGAGAACAAGAACTCACTCGTTTTCAAGAAATGCAAGAGAAGATAAAGGATGTTTCATCAATTGAAAAGGATGCAGATACGAGTGTCAAATACGATGCCGTGTTCAAGATACACAGAGAATCCGGCAAAAGTTACGATGAAGGAATGAATTCCATCAAGCTCGTGACATGGTGGAACCTCGGCATTATACCATGGCGAAACATCTTAGAGGCTTACAAAAATTACATGAGGTACAATCTTGTAGAGAAATATGAAGATCTAGTTCGAGAAAATTCAATCCGGACATCAGAGACTCAATCAACAACGAGCTAGACATCAACATGACACCAACCAACCAACCCTCTTACAGAGTATACTCAATATAACATCCTTCTAGGAGTGGTGGAGAGTCTCTAGCTGAACCTTGCAACTATTTTCTTTTTTCAAAAAATATTTAATAATAATAATAATAACTGTTGCTGCTGCTGCTGGCGGCGGCGGTGGCAACGGTGGTGGTAGTGGTGTGATGTTGGTGTAAAAGTTGGAAAATGACTTCCCCATGAAAAAAGAGAAGTCATTTTCCTCCAAAACAAGCATATTTTCCAAAGTCAACGGAAAATGATTTCCGTTGACATGATTTTTCAGGCACATCTAAATACTGAAAAATAATTTCCAGAACTCATTTTCCAGGTTTTCAAACACACCCTTAATGGATATATGCTTGTCCAATTTTTAATGGGATTAAATATTTTGATTAGGATTAGGAATATGCAACCTCATGTAATTAACATTACAACAACCCCAACAGTTATTTGAAATCATCAGTGTGAAAAACTTCATTTTTTATTTTTAATAATTGAGAAAATTTTACAAAATGACTAACTTATAATCGTGTGTCAATCAATAATAATAGAAGAAATGAAAAAAAGTGAATATTGAAAATGTTTGTAAAAAATTAAGAAATCTACCTCTTTCATTAGATAGGAATAAAATATATATGTATAACACTCCCATTATCTTACCGTGTTCCTATTTCTTTAAAAATTTTCATAAAACAAGCTCGTGGCCGGGATAAAACTAGTTGAGGAAAATAATACATGATTGACGGTAAATATGTTACCGGAGTATATTTAGAAAGAAATTGTTAAGTAGAGTGTATAAGGTCTAGAACGTGTTTTTCCCTACTTGTTATACAGACTCAATTTTTATATTGTACAATGGTAATATCTACAATAATGGTTGTAAACGCGAAAAACTTGAATTGTATATATTCAAAATTCAAAGTATCGGTTACAAGTAGTATCAAGTATATATCAAACAGGAAAGGGTACAATCTCTGTATAGGAGAAGTCCTCTGATTCTCTACTACAAGTATGTTTATTGGAAGTATGCCGAATTTGAAATATGTCAAATTGGAAGTGTGCTGAGTTCAGAGTATGCTGAACTGGAAGTATGTCGAGTTCCTTGATGGAAGTGTGCTGAGTTCAGAGTATGCTGAACTGGAGTAGTTCCTTGCTGAAGGGCCTCCGGAGTTAGTAGCTTGTTCCTCAATGAAGGGCTAATATGCAGCTTGATCGTCAAAGAAGGGCTTCCGGTGTTCAAGTGACGTGTTTCTCAGCGCGGTATACGCAGTACAGGCGTGTTCCAGACGATATCCTGGAGAGATTTCGGCAGAGCTTCGATATGCAGATTTCCAGAGCACATTCTTTGAAAATGAAACCACTATTTATAGTGGTGAGGGAGAGGAAAAATCTCCAACCAACTCTTAATTCCTTATTTAATTTAATTTCTTTAATTAAATTAAGGAATGTATCGGGACACCATTGCGTCCAGGTTCATGATTCATTAAATTTTCAAATAATATCAAATATTCCAATTTCTTCAAAATTATGTAATCCACATATAATTTTAGTGGGCCAAGACCAAGTCAAACCCGCTATATGCAACCCAATTAATCCAAGCAGCTTGGTCCGACTCAATTAAATATTCCACCAACTTAGGCCGAATAATCCAACATTCAATTACATTTAATTAAGTAATTAAACTAATTAAATATTCAATGTGCCATTTAATTAACCCGATTAAATAAATATTAGTCCAATTAACTTAATTAAAATAATTAATTTTAGAATTAAATATCCACCACGGTCCATGGTACTAACTGCTTCCTATTGTGCAACAGCTCCTTGCCGTAAGTGTACATTAGAGCTCCTCAGTAATTGTTGTGTGCTCTCCTACATAACTACTCTTTGATGAAGCGGTATCCTACTAATTAAGTGCATTGGACTTTAAGAACCGTTCCACCTTATCCGGCCTGTTTCACTCTTTGTTACCAACTAACCATGTTGATTGCTTTGACTGCTTCAGGTCAGTCCAAATGTGCTTCGAGTCGGGTCTAATGACTAATCCAATTATCACCAGCCCCCTAGTCCTAAGCTAAGAGCGTAGCAAAGTCAACTAGGCAGTAATGATACTATATACTCATTAAATATCCCGTCACCAGCCTCTCTACCCTCATACTATGAGTGTAGAGAAGTATGCCGTCTAGACAAAAAGGTTATTCTTTTTTTTTTTTTAAATGCTAATAAGAGGCTTTTGTCTTTTTTCCTAATATCGATAAACATTTTTGTTAACCACATTATACTCTTCATAATTTAAATACAGTAGATTCATAATTTCTATACAGTAGATTCATAATTTTTAAACTGTAGATTCATAATTTATGTACTGTAGATTCATAATTTCTAAACTGTATAGTTATCAAATTATGAACATATAATTCTGTGATTTGTGAATACAGAGTTAAACAATTGGGAATATAAATATCGAAAATTATGAACATAGAGTTCTGTAATTATGGACATATATTTATAAAATTATGAGCATATAGTTCTATCACATGTTCACAAACCTAATACTGTAGATTCATAATTTCTATACTGTAGATTCATAATTTAAATACAGTAGATTCATAATTTCTAAGCTATGCGATTGCGAAGAGAGAAACACCGTTAACAGCAAGTGAAAAACAATTTTTTATAAATTAGACGGCGTCGTTTTCAACGAAAACGACGCCGTTGTGGAACTGTGCCCACCTTGCAAGGTGGGCACGGTTCCATAGCATAATTTGCCGATAGCAAAATCATGCGCCATAAAATAATTTATTTAAAATATCGAAGTAAAATAATTTGTTTTGAAAACATTCTTGCTAAAATATTTAGGATTGAAAAATAAATTTTATTTTCGAGAATATTTTTATTAAAATAAGATTGTTTAAAATATCAGGAGTGTCACACACGTAGTCTAAATTTCAAAGATCTGTGCCTTGGCCACCTTTGCTGAGGCCACGCCGCAGCCCGCAACCACTATAGCTGAGGCAACGCCGCAACCCCGGTCGGTTCAACTCCGAGTCTAGAAAAAAATTTTAAAAAATAGAAACAAAATTAAAAATTATTATTGTAATACAAAATTAAAAAAAAAAAAAATTCTAGTCGACCTACTTTTTTACACTCGTAGTCTGCGGGTATTGGGTTGGTGTCGAGATTTTTAATGAGTATACACTATCATTACTCCCTAGTTAACTCAGCTACGCTCTTAGCTTGGGAGTAGGGGCGGGTGATAGGATAATTAGATTAGTCATTAACCCGACCTGAAGCACATTTAGACTTACCCGAAGCAGTCAAAGTAATCAACACGGTCAGTTGGTAACAGTCAAGAGTGAAACACGAGAAAGTGTAATGGTTCTTAAAGTTCAATGCACTTAGTAGGACACCGCCTAATCAAAGAGTAGTTATGTAGGACATTGTAGTTACTTCATTACCTTTCCAACTTTTGATGCATCCACTAGAAGGTACCAGGTATGCATGTTTCTCTTGATCAAGCTGATATATATCCAATTAGGGACATCTGTTAGGAACAAGTGTAATTATATAGATTTTGATGATACCAAACTTGCTAGGATTGTAGACCCCTATTTTCATTTTGTTTTAGAACTTTCGTTGGAAACGAAAGTCATTGTAACTCAACGTATGATTCGCACTAAGTAGTACACGAATCTTAGTTGAGACTAGTATAGTAGGTCTACTTGAAGACATGAAGACAAAAAGAAGAACAAGAGATCAACTCAGACCGAAAGATGGAAGGGTCTAACTCTCGGACAATCGTCAAATGACGAGGAATGTCATTCGTTCAAAGGAATGTCGAAAGATAAGGTCAATCTTTCGAGTAACCTTTTCAAGACAACAAGTCTAAGTCAGATTTGTAAAGATAACTTCTATTAAGTGAAGCAAGAAGAATGTTGTCTATGTCTCACGGCTGGGCAATCATCCTAGACAAAAGATGTCCTAGGAATGATATTCACATAAACCAAGGAGCATTAAATGATTGGTACCATCTTGTCAGTGAAAAGGACAAAAAGCCATGGTGCTTTTTGTCATCAACGGCTACACAGTACAGCCATATTAAATGCCCCATGCCCACTCGTCATTACCCGCTGGTTAATAGGTTCGAAATTTCATCTCCCTCAACAGATGAATTTTTCCTCACCTATAATACCTCTCTTCACCATTGAAGAAGGTGCATGCTGATTGTTCAACAGATTTTATCCTTAGAAAAGCTCCTTAAACAAAGTTCATTCATAAGCTTTTCATGATCAGCGTGTACGTTTGTGAAGATTTCAATCCTACATCTATACTTCACAAACCTGAAGAAGTCTTGTATCTTTTCTCAAGTGAAGATTCATCCAGTCAACAAGTCAAGACTTCAACCTGTTGGAGAAACACAACATTATCTTTCCAACACTCAACTCTGAGGAAGAAGTTGATAGAGGCGGAGTAAACTCGAGGAGTTGAAAAACCTACCAAGTAGCTGTCCGGCTTAAATTAGTGATCAAGGAAGCTAGCTTGAAGTAGTTTGTACTAGGAGTGATAGTACAAACCCTTTCACAAGTTGTGGAAGAAGAGTGGAGTAGGCTTTGTTAACAGCCGAACCACTATAAAAATCTCTCTCTCCATCTCTGTCTTTACTTACAGCTGATTATCTTTCGTGCATTGCATCTCATACTGACCCAACGATAATTCCTCATAACGAAACTGTGCAAAGTTCAAGTTAAAACAAACTAGTTATTCTGCTGCGCGTCACTCCAAAAGGAGTTGCTTTGAAAAATCGAGTAGAGTCTATTCACCCCCCCCCCCCCCCCCCCTTTTCTAGACTCTCATTTCGACCTACCGGGACCAACAACATCTCCTCGTAGACACTCTCAAACACTCCCACTGGAGAGCACGAGAAAATGCTTCAAACATTGAAATTTAAGGCTGCTCCATATCAAAGAATGAATGTATGAGTCAATTCCACTCAACCACACCCTTAGTTAGTTATATGGTATAAAAATATTATAGTATATACGGAGTAGTATTTAATCCCAATAAAACTTGGGCAAGAAGTATCATATCCATTAATTTTTATTTTTTATTTTTTTAAGAAAAGAAAGGTTTCCTCATCCTAATCATAATCAAAATAGAAATAAGGGCTATATATAAATTTCTGTGTTTCCATTAGTTCTCAAAATGCATCGATCGACTGTGTTAGGTTTCCGCATGCGGCGATAGTGCTACGATCTCCTTCTCCTTCAATTCATTGCTTCTATCATATCATATCATATCAATGGCGACACATTTTCACCTCCGACCCTGGATCAGATCTTCGTTTGAGTCGACGTTGTGTTTTGGGCTGCCCGATCCAACAACGGTGCTAATTATAGAAGTTGTTTTGAAATACAAACGGTGGATATTCTTGAGAAATCGGCTGGGCGGCCAGGTTGTTGATTTCTTCGAGACAAACTCCGACGACTATGCTTGTTTCGATTCTCCAGCTGGGTTGTCATCGTATTGTGAGTTGAGAGACCAAATTCGTATGTGGGTGCCGGGATTGTCTGAGTCCTTATGCACCCAGCTTTCCCAACGAATCTTCCAGTATACGCAAGAAGTTGCAGTAGTTGCCAATGACAATGGCGGCGGCGGTGCAAATAAAGTCACGGCTTTTGTGGAGATTCATGAGCCAGATCTGCAACCAACAGACGACGACGACCAAGTACAAGATTGCATGGGAGTGTGGGCTGACCGTGATGAATATGAAGAGGATGGAATAATCTTATATTTTGGTAATAATATCATTGATGATGATGATGATGAAGATGAGTCGTCAAAGCGGCCAAGGGGTTTGAGTTGTGAAGAGATTAACGGGTTGAAGCAAGAAAGGTTCAAGAGCAGTGGAAAGGAGGAATGTTCGATTTGTCTGGAAGAGTTCTTGACGGGAGTCAATATTACGCCATTGCCATGTTCTCACACTTTTCACCATAACTGCATTGCTTCATGGCTTCAGAAACATGGGAACTGCCCGTTTTGCCGATTCGACATCACGCAAGAATGCTCATTGCCATCTTTAAAAGAGTTAGCTAGTAATGAAATCATTTGATAGATGTATCTTTTTTGAGTCATGGCTTATTACTATTTCTCTTTCTGTGAATCAATTTTATGCTTGCTAATCACAGGCTATAATGCAGAAAATGTCAAGGGACAACTCAGAATTTTCATTGAATCTGGAACTCTTGTACTGCCATCTTTTACTGAGATAAATGTGTAAGTTCCTCAGTATAGTTTGCATTTCCATTTTCTTGAATGGTTTATTTTCAAACTTTTTATCAGCATGCTTTGCAATTTATAAATGCACTCTTATTCCGTTTATCCATACAGGATAGATAACCAAAATAATTATTGAATTGGGCTACAGGTCAGGCTAGCAGCTAATAGTTGTGTCACCAAGCATATAAATGAGCCAGGGGATTATGGCGGCTTCCCTGCTGTAAGGAATCTTATGTTTAAGTTTCTCACTTATGTGTTGATTGATTAATTTAGTGTTGATAAAATTTGGCCTAGTGTGCAATATAATATGTTAATTGTAGATAATTATGTGTTGAGAAAGTTTGGATGTTGGAATAAAGTGTTGATAGAATTAAAGATTGACAGTGTTGATGAGTTGATTATATTGGTTGGATTGTACAGGAAAAAATAATTTACAATTTCAATATCTTTGGATCAGGTTAGCTGCACTTCAATGTATCAATTGTATTTCATAAATTCTATATTTGCCATTGCTGAACATTTTTTTTTTCTATCCACAGATTTTTAAATCTTATGATTGTGCTTAAACAGGTTTCTCCAGAAGAAGCTGAAATTATTGAAGAGGTCAAATCTTTATTAGGAGAAAATGATGGCAATGAATCAAATTTTATTGCTCCCTTTCCATTGCTCAATAAGAATGCAGTAGAGTCCTTGAGATATAGAGCTGAGGTAATAATATATATCTGTTGTATGAAACTGTTTCATAAAGCTTGTTGAATGATATTAATCGGAAAATGCTCTTTTGATCAATTTTGGTTTATTTGACCACTATTAATTGTTTGATTTAATTAAAATATCAATATAAATGTTTGGTTAATTAGCTTTTTGCAACTCCAATTGGCTAAAATTCAAAAAGCTACTCCAAGCAACTTTTTCAATTAGCTTCTTGAGAAATGAAATTATACCAAACAGCTATCAGCTAACAATTAATTTACCCAAACACTTTTCTACAATCAGCTAATATTATCAACTATTTATACCCTCTAATTAATACAATCAGCTAACAACTAACAGCTATCAGCTAACAGTCATTTTACCAAACAGGGCCAATATTTGTGCTCTCTGCTTGATAACTGTAACTTTTGTTTTCTGATATAGGCTATAGCAGCTGGAGGTATAATTCTATTTAAACATAGATTTCATTGTATGTTTGTTGAATTTGAAACTGATCCTCCATTTAATAAGGGGGTGTTGTTGATATATTGCTTGTTGCCTTTTGTCATTCAAAGAAAAATTATTTATGCTATATTGCAACACTTACCTTTTTGAACGGGGATTACTTTCGGTTTATTCGCATTTTGAGTAATTCTTCTTGTTCTGTTATTTTATTTTATTTTTTTTTTCCTTTATTACTATCCCTTTGTGTGCGTGTATTGACAAATACTTGTTCCTCTGTTTTGTTTTTTTATTTTCAGACCAGGTGATACGGAAAGGAGCAAAATTGCTGGAGATTCTCCAATTGCAAAGGCTGCATACTATAATGCCATGATGCGCTATTAATAAATATTTTTTTAAAGAAAATAGTAATCTGCGTTTGTTTCTATTCAGGAACATACGCAGATTATCTAGCCAGGATATTTTTTTATTAAAAAAAAATAACAATCTGTTTACAGGATCAGACGCAGAGTATGGACAATCTAGTCCAAAGCCACTTCGAACGCGGATTATTCAACCAATCTGTGTCTTATTTCAGACGCAAATTGTTCATTTTGTACTAGTGATGTATAGATTCTACTCATCTAAATGAATTAGTCAACCGGTTCTGCAAGTAGTCTACTTAAAACATTGTCTTTGCTAAGATACTCATTTGCAATGGAATCTCCTCGGCAAAAAGATTATTAACTGATTAAGGAAAATCAGAGATAGTGCCAGTAAAAGTCTATCCAAACGCAATTTTAATATAGGGTGCTATAAGGATCAGGATGTGACATGTCCCGCAACAACATACATAA